CTAAAAAAAAAAAAAAAAAAAAATCCACCCTTGTAAAGTGTATAGTTCAGTGGGATTTAGAACCTTTACAATGTTGTGCAGCTACCGCTTCTATGTAGCGATATTGAATGATGAAAACACATATGCCATGAAGCCGTTGCTATGTGCTCCTCCTTCCCCCAGGCCCCAGCAAACACTGACACATGTTGTCTTGATGTATCTATTCCAGATACTTTGTACAAATGGAATTCTATCACAATATGCGACCTTGTGGGTCTGGCTTATTTCACTTACCATAATGTTTTTAGAGGTTCATCTGTATTGTGTATATATCAGTATTTCCTGTACGTGGGTGAATAATATTCGATTATATGGATATACCACATTTTGTTTATCAATTCGTCAGTTGATGGATATTTGGTTTGTTTCCACCTTTGGACTATTGTAAACAATGCTTCTAGGAATGTGTGTATAAATATTTGTTTGGTTTTCAGTTAATTTGGTTTTAGCCCTAGACGGGGATTTAGTGAATCACAGTGTAGTTCTCCATTTAATTTTTTGGAAACTACCAAATTATTGTCCACAGTGGCTGTGCCAATGTACATTCTCGACAGCAATGTACAATGATTCCTATTTTGCCACATTCTTGACAACATGTATTTTGTGTTTGTTTGGATTTTTTTTTTTTAAGTAGCCATCTTAAGGTATAGGAAGCAGCACTTCATTGCTGTCTAGTGACACCTTAACCCATCCTTCCGTGACCAGTTTTCACCTCACCTTGACTTTACAGCCTCACCTGTGAGGAGCTGACTGCCTTCACTCTGTGCGGCCTCCCCGGGGATGCTGTGGGCTTCTGGGCAGAGCTGCATCACAGTCTCTCTGGCATCTGTAGTGCTTAGCGAAATGCCTGGCACCTAGTGAGTGCTTCCAAAACCCCTTCCCATGCTGACCCTGAGCAGATGTGTCCTCAGTATCAATCCACCCTTTATTAATATCTTTGATCACTACTTGCTGTGTTCTGCTCCAAAAGCTGCTGACATACCTTTAAAGAGGCTGATAAACCTCAGCTCCCAGGTATGGAGGCTGTAT